CCACACTCCTGAACTGTTTATGCAACTGGCGAGGCTATTCGACCGTTTTGTTTTCGCCAGTCGGGGAAATCAATTCACAGTTGCCAGACATTGCAAGATATACTTGATGCACGGTGAGAAAGTCGATTTGGACTGGTTCAAAGCACTACCTACGAGTTTTCAGGAAACATGTGAAGAATTCAAGCGTCTCAATCAGCTTAGTTAAGTCAGTCGTAGGTTTATGCACTCAGGTGGACGAGTTTTCAGTAGTTTACACCATATTTTTGGTTATAAATTTTCTAACTCCGGCAAAATGAGATTAACCTTATTGGATATCGAGTTTGTCAATGAAACCAGCACTTACGTAATTCTTTGAGAACTTTCAACTTATTACCGAGTCGTAGTGTGCCATATAGCAAAAAAGAATAACGGTTTGAAGAGATATATGTAAACAAAAATATGGACCTTAACCGTATGGATAATGTAGACACAACTTCTAAAACTTCATTGTGTAATAGTTGATGAGTGCCTGAGAGTATTTTGTTTGTTCAGTTTTCAAATGCATGTAGATATCTATCCATTATAGATTCTACAGTATCCCCATTGTGCAGGGATCTTGGTAGATCGTATGCTAGCGCGACACCAAGATGTTTCATTGTTCTCCATTTTAGTATGACAAGTGCCCAAAGAACCTTCCTTCGTTTTCCATACATCTATCAATTCGTTGTACTATGTTGGTATGAACCTTCCTGGCTTCTTCAAGGGTATGTTTCCCGATGTAATTGCGATATTTACTTTCAGTTCGGAATTGGGCTGTGGAGTGCAAAGCCCTAGACGTGTTTCAGTTCCATTAGAAAAACCGCTGGGTTTTGGGAATTTCGTCGGTAGATATTGCAAATAAACTGTAGCTTGTTTTCGGATCTGCTGCATCACCTGTTAGTTAGTTGCCCTTTCTTGTTGTCTTCACCTTTCAGTTGTTACTGAAAGTGCTAATTCTATGATGGGCATTCGCTTTGACGCATTGTTTGTCACTTGCAGATCGAAGCAATTTTTTATGAGCTTGATAGCATATAGTTCTATTGAGGTTAAAAAACCTAAGGGATGACGTAGTTTGCTATATAGTTCCATTACTTAATAGATTTCCCAGTCAAATATCCTGATTTTGTTCTAAAATATTTTAGGCTACCTCCGGTCTCTCAGTCATCTCCAATTGCTACAACAATTCGTTTCAACTTCACAACTTTTCAGCTCAGTTTGGCTTCGTTTCAAACTCGAAACGTGCTGAGGATTTTTTTGTCTTAAAACTAGCCCTCTTGAATAATGTAACCTTGAACGAGTATCATTTTCCCAGCTTGCACTCCATCAAATTCCTGGGCGTAGAGAGAAGCAAAGTTCCTCTATGGTCTTCGTACATTGAGTTTTTTGTTTGAAAAACGGAGACACTTGTCATACTCGCGGACTCTAATAAGTCCACAATCCGCAAAGAAATATTTCTCCGTGGGTCGATCCGAGGGTTCTTGTCATGCTATTGTCATCCTGATCTCTTCAAAATAATTAAACTCTAATACCCGGATCACTTCAATTTTCGATAACTTTCCATCTCTGTCGATTGACGATTTAATCGTGAAACTCACTGATCAACATTCATTCATCCGCACGATTCTAGCACGATTTTACAATTCTTATATTGACATACGTTCCTGTAGTCTTTATCATTATTCAATGCGCTCTAAATTCCGATATTTTCCATACCACGTAAACTTCTATGTGAATCATCCTTGCCATTTTAACAAACCGTGAAATAAGGAGAGTTGAAAATAACTTCTGTCTTAGTTTTGGTCTATGGTTTATTTACGCGACTGAAATTTAAACACGTGGTAGCAGAAACAAAAAACAAGTAAAGATTTAAACCGGAGGAATTTCTGTGCATGACATATTTTGTAAGCTAGTGTCTCTGTATTGCACTTTCGCATTTTCCATTAGCATTCTCTGCTTTGTGGTTAATACTGTCAGACGATTTGATCTATTGACTTCATTTATTTCATCTTCATTCTCTTATTTCATACACACCTACTCAAACAAACAATCAGGGTGCTTTCTACGCCCTAATGACCGGCCTCATTACCGGACTGATCCGTCTGGTTTTGACCGTGGTCTATCACGAACCAGTCTGCGGTGAACCGGACCATCGGCCGGCAATCGTGGCTCGGTTTCACTACATGTATTTTGCCTTGTTCTCATTTCTTCTGACCGGTCTGGTTATGATCGTGGTTTCACTGTTCACTCGTCCACCGGACAAACATTGTTTGACTCGGTTGACATACTTCACCGCATGGGATGTTCCAGAAGAGTACAGTCCACCGGTACCTAAAGATTGTCAGGCAGTCAATGCATATGGGATTAGTGAAGCCTATGATAAACCGACGGGAGATGCCATGCTAGCGTACGGACTGTATGACCCTGCTATAACGGAACAACCGCGATCTGGGAGTCCTCGGAGCTTACAACGAAATGAGATTGGTAAGATAGTATATTTCATAATTGGTCACAATAGACGTGATGAAGCCATTCATCTGCGCATGCAGTATTGTACTCTTCGCCGAACGTTTTAGCTCAGTCTTATCACACCTACTCCAAGTAATAACTTTGACTCCCCAGCTAGGTTTACATGCATAGAAGTGATATTTTAAATGAATGTCCTGGTGTTCCTATTTATTACTGAGTTTGAGTGATGCTCGTCAGATTGATGTTTTGGTAAAGACAGATGCTTGAACTCATCTGAAAACTTGCCGATTGACCTGATCTTCCGTGTCGGTCTTACCCATGAAATTTTTCAAAGTTGGTTCAAGTTACCTCTAAGACAGTAAAACCAGGGACAGCAGTAGCGCTCTGGCATAATCCAATTATGAAGCATCGAAAATATATACAGCGGTTCAGTCGGTGCTGCCATAAGGTGCAAAGACCCGAAGGAGATAAACTATGCTAGTTTATTCAGCGCTTTCTGCTCCGAATCGCACAGCTGCGTCGATGCCGTCGGGTTAGACACAGAGCATACCTCGGGTACTTGACTTCCATAGAGTATGGTGACTGGAGCAGTGCCATACATGTCATCAGATAAGTTTCATTGACGTGTTATGTTTGTGACAGTATGTAGTGGTAGAAGAAGGCTAAGAGTGCTCAATCTCAGGGATGGTCTGAGGGCATGAAAACTCAGATGATGGTCCTGAGTCATATAGGTCGCGTTAGACTTCCCGGTCGGAAACATTGCGGCAAATCTATTCAATGATTAGGGAAATCGGGTGGTGTGCCTGGGTGTCGTAAGCAATAACATTTTCGGGTCTATTCCGTTTCACCACAAAGTGAGTGTAATTGCATTCTTCATGTTCATCTTAGCACCATCGGTTTGCCACATTTTCGTCCACCCCTTGCTCATTGGTCGACCAAATTGGCAGTCAAAATATATTAAAAAAAGTGATCCGATAATGCAAGGATACTGGTTGTGTGTGTGTGTGCCTATGATTGAACTTTCTCGGAGGTGGGGTGGGGAGGGGGGTAAATTCATCGAGCAACTGAGAAACTTTAAGCACAAACTGCATAACTGGATTTTTGTGTGTAATGGGTACAGGAGCTTCACACACAGCACACTGTTTGGAAATCCTTTGAGGATATTCTTTCATCGAATTTTGATATACAATCTAGTTTCGCACATAAGGACATGGGTATCACGTCCACTTTGCAGCGGCCCATTACGCTTCCATTCCTTATTTCTAGCAAGCTTCACTGTGCTCTGTGCTGTCTGTTGTTCATCTTTGTGGGATAGCTTCATAAACTGGACTGCTTGGGTTCTAGGTTATTTGAATAAAAAATAAACAGCTGAAATGAGATTTGTGTTCAGGGAAAATCGATAAATGACGTTGAGCATGAGAGAACGAAAACACGAGATAAGCGTTCCACATGAGCATCTATGAGCTCCATAGGAATTAGTAAAAATTATTCTACTGGCAGAATTTTGTTTGCTAAGGACATTGATTTATACTTTGCTTAGTGTTAAAAAGGACAAGATTTTCAACTCGGCATTTCTACTGTGGTACAAAGTAGAATAATTTATCTTATAGTGATAAATTTACGAAATAATTCCTCTGATGTTCATCCTAACACTTCTGTTAGACATGTTAGACATCATTTGTTTGCATCAATGTACCATTACGATCGTTTCCAACATACATTTATATCTGATTCTTTCGTTTTTTCACTTTTCTTCTCAGTCGATGTTCACGAACCTTCGCCGGATAAACTTTGTCCTTGTCACTCTCCGGCCGGTTTGTGTTTTCGACATATCTGTCTGTGGTTATGTGGCTGTGAGGACCATCCATGCTCACAGGAAAATGAATTCCGTTGCGCAGCCTGTTTGTGTTGCGGTAAAAGTCACGTGCCAGATTGGCTCCCGTTCGGTCACGAACGAACGGTAGACCTGGAGAACGAGGAGCAACACCTGCGTAGTGTGATCAGTCTGAAGCAAGATCCACGTGCCAAAGTAGCTCTGCGTGTTTGCCTTGTGTTTCTCGCTATTATTGTAATATTTCTCTACGTGTTTTTCTCCGTTTATTTCGATCTCATCGATCCCGGTCCATTGCCCGTTTGGTGGAATGAGAGCGCAAATGTGACCCGGAAGATGTTGCTCGCGTTGGAGGCGAACAATATTATCACACTTAAATAGGTTCCATTTGATTCCAGAAGCGCCATCGCAAATTCATTTCACGTTTTTTTATCGTCTCACAAATGAATGTCAATGATATTTCTATTTCCGTCGGTTCGATTAGGGCTTCACACTCGAACATGTTTCCAACTGGTCTTTGTGATTTTACTCCGTTTCACTTGCTGTTTTTTCAGACGCAATTTATTTTCAATAAATTTGATAACACCTTCAGTTTGGTTTCTCTCTGCTAATGCATTCAGATGCATTCAAACGCGTCAGTTCCTAATGTTGTTTTTATTCACCTCATCCCAGAAGGTTCTCCCTGGAGTAAATATTTTCAAATTTCTGCTGTTGAGTAATTGGCACATCACGTCTTCATTAACTTCAGATGATTTTTCGACATAAATGATATGGTATCTCTGCCACGTATTTTTAAGATATTAAGAACTGGTCCCATGTACTGGTGCACATCAGTTAGTAACGTTCTCAGGGCTTAGGGATCATGTACACTTGTGATTTCTTTGTCCATATTGTTTCCATTTAGTGGTCATTCGTAGAAGATAACATACAGTAGTGTTTCTGGGATGGATATACCCGCATATCGTAGTTTCGTAAAGACATAACTGAACTGTCACTAACTCACGCCATAGAAGTCTAGAGTTCCTCTATAAGTCGGTGAAGAAGTTTTGAACAACCGTACTTTCTAATTGGTTCTCCTACCATTTCAAGTGGAGCATGAACAGACCAATCCATTTTAGTCAGGCCGCATGTGTGGTCACGTTGCCGGTTACGGGTTTGCTCAGTGGAATTGCATGATCAACTTCCCACTGTCCGATAAGCGACCCAACAAACATTTCCTCAACGAACCTTGTGATCATGAGCCATTTAGTTCGAGCAAGAGGCCTGACGCTTGCACAAATATCATGGTAGATCGCAGTACACATCGAGATCGATACAGACTAAAAGGATGCCGGCAAATCAGAATTACACAGAGCCAAGTGGAACACGAGGGACCTTACTCGACTGGATTCAAAAAGTTGGAAGCTGAGAGAAACATGTACGAAAATTGCATTTTGCCTGTTCGCCGAGCCTGGCACTTCGTTCGCAAACGTTTTATCACTAGCGCGGGCAACATGTCCAGCGCTTATGAAGTGGCTGCCACTTCACGTGTATTAATTTGACTACGATTGAATTTGGAAACTGCATGCTACAAGAACAGGAGCAGTCAATACCTGGCTCATTTTAGTCGCATTGTATCGATGTTTGACGCATTTCTAGCAGAAATCACACTGTTCAAAAACGTTTACGCGCATCTGAGGTGCTGCACCAGAAGACCATTAAAGTACGTGTAATTTCCTCTTCGATTCAAGAACCGATCAGCAAAAGTAGTACAGCACCTTCAAGTAGGTCCTCCGAAATGGTTACAGTGCGATTCGTTTCAAGCTCAGAATGCGAGAAGTTTGCGTCATTACCAGAATGGAACTATTTTCAAGGTAATGGTCTATTCAACTAGGTCGACTCACCATCTGATCGTATGCTGTGCGTTCGCTTCCCGCTTTCTTTGTCGGTCAGGCTGCAATCTGTTGCCGATAGCTTAGTGAAAAAGAGTCATATCATCGTACTTGGAGGAATGAAAAGCACTTTGGTTCTTGTTATTATCTGCAGAAACAGTAGAATGCTCATAAAATTCGCAAGGGAAGCTCATCTGTTTATAATGGAATGATGTGATACCTATTCATTTTTATCATATAAAAACACTTCTATGACGGGAAAAAATTACATCATCGGTTGTAAAACCGCACAAAGATTTACAAATAGCCGAGAAAAGCTTTTGGAATTGAAATAGAGCAAACTTACTTTTCACACCTTATACTATTTGGCATAGGTCCATGGTGACCAGATGGATTAAAAATGAATGACATCCCAACCAGTCGATTAAATGAAAATCCGCAATCATTACGAAAATACTGGAACAAATCCAGAAATGAAATGGAAATTGACTGAAATTTCGTGGCAACTGAGACAGTAGGTACTGTTGTACATGGGATAGTTCATTGTGAAGATCAATTCCAAGAGTCAAAAAGAGAGAAAGGAACAGCTGTATGAACTGGTAAACTTTTAGAAAGATGTTTGGTAGACTCCGTCAGAACGACTCGAACGCACCACCTTCGGAAACGCCGTTTATCGATTGAATAGCACCACTCAGTTATATGGTATCTGATTAGGAAACAAATCACGTATAAACGAGGCAATAGTTGGTCCAGTCAACTCAGATGTATACTTCACTCTTCTGCATCGCTATTGACGGTTCGAATGTGTACTTTTCGCTGCGTTGAAGATGTTGAGTAGCATGAGATGTGGAACGCTGTATGCATTTGCACATATGCCAGCATTACGGATAGTGTGTGTGTGTGTGTGTGTGAGCGAGAGGAGACATTTTTGGTGTTATTCAAACTGAAATGAAATATAGAAATCCGAAGACCACAAACAGATGGATTTTAGACAATATGTGATAAATAAGTAATCCACTTCCATTTATGATCATCGTTGCAAACCACTATTTTAATTCTACTTTATTGCAGCCACCATGTAAAAGGAAAAAGAAACCTGAAATGCGATACAGACGATTATGCGAATGCTTAACCGAGTAACTCCTGTGCGCAGGCATTTTTGTGCATAAAGCATTATCTGAGAAAGGGAGTTTCGCAAATGATACAAATCTTATCGCAAAAAGCAAGAGCTAGCAACCGGATTTAAATTTTTGACAAAAATGTCCATTGGTTTGGTTTCTCTTTTAAACTCTAGATTACAGGGACGGTATTCAATTGTTGATAGCAGTTTTTGGCATAAATTTGCGTGCTTCTCCGACCGAGTAAACACTTCCAAAGGCGAAACCCAAAGTTGTCACGTGGCAAATTGCTAACCGGAATACGTGACACTAAACAGCAAACTAAATCCTACTTGTGATCCACTTGTAGGTTTGCTTTTCTGTGAAAACACAGAAAGACTTCAAAAGTCGTCCTCGGTGCTCGAGTAATATCGAAATGAAGAAAACATTCCTCCACGAATGAAAACAAATGGAACAGTAGAGTCGCGTTTTACCGGATAAATACAAACCGAAAATAATATTCGATCCGTGCCTAACAGATCAAATCGGTAGAACACCAACATACCTAATGTGGTCGGTTGATTGGTACTGCTGATGTCAGTGCAGAAAGCTGTGCATTGCTTCTGATATTTTCAGGTTACTTTGTTTCTTGAACTGTATACAACAACATCTGATCGATGTAGTTTGTATCACTACAATCACGATAAGCAGTTACTCAAGACATGGAAAACAGGAAAAATTTGGCTAAGTAGACAAAGAATCTGAACTTAAATAGTGCCATCTTCATTGTTGTATTGTAAATAAACTGCTCTGGCATTTCAGCATGTGTAAACCATTACCAGATGTTTTGTGGCCTACAAAACTAAGTATGCAGATAGGGAACATTCCGGGACTGTGGTAAGAACATCAGGAAAATTTGATCTACCCCACAAATGCAACATTCAGATCTGGAAGACATTGTTCTAACTACGCCATTTATCATGACTTCATGGTTTGTTTTTTCTCCTGTGAAAAGACTAGCCCCGACTTATTTTTGAAAGGGGAGGTGATACTGTGGCCTACAAGTGACTGCTACATTTTTCGCACTTGCTTCTGGCCTGATTGATTGATTGATGGATGGATTGACAGATCCCGTCAGCCAATACTCACGCGCGCACTCACGCCATGCGGACTGAATCTACTACAATATCGATCGGCTCCAGCACATCATATATTATTGTTGGACTGTTCCCACTCGACCGATTGGCCTACTGTTTGAATGCCGGCTTGATGGCATTCGGCTTTCGTGTGATGCGTGAGCTATTTGTTTGCCTCGTTGCCTTCCTATGTTTGACCCTTTCGCATTGCTCATCGGTCTATGGACCAGCTACATGTGTGCCTTCACAATAGACGTACTGCATAATTGACTGCGCGCTTATTCACCTACTTAAACGGGATACAACTGTATGAAACACCGAATGGGATTCGACCTTCCATATCAACAGTTGCAGAAAAGCTCAGTCGAATAGAGATTCAGTAGGACGCGGAGAAGTTCTGAAATTGCCCTTTGGCATTGAACTACTATAAATAGTCTGTTCTCGTCACACGTCTCCAGGGTTTCATCTTCATGCATACTGTGTTGCCCGTTCAGCGAGACATGCATTCGACATGAATTGAGGATTGTGCCTGAATAGGCGTCTGAAACTCTTGGTCAAACAAAATCAAAATTGTTTATCCCAACTCACTACTCACAAGTAATGGTGAATAGGAAAGGAAATTGACATTGGCTGTCTGAATGGTCCCACAGAATACAGAATTGACGAACAAACTCGTTGTTCGTTATTTGGGATCATGCCAATCCATAATATTACACATGAGTAAGAAAACGTAAAAGAAGGATGATAAAGCGTGGTCGCAGACGATCATATTGTATTGTTATTGTTTTCACAGCCAGTTTTAGCATTTGAATCTCTTTACCCTATCTATAATTTGTGTATTTTTAACTGAAATGTCGGATTTATGCCCACAGAAGTTATTACAATAACGATAAAAAATGATCAGATAAGCTTACTGATCTCCTTGCACTGCAGTTGTTGTCACACGAACAAGTGATGGATTATAAACCGAAAGAAGTTACAGAATCGGGCACCTTATACTTCAGTCAAAGATGTACCACTAATTTCATTGTGAACACGGTTGGTATTTTTGTCGCGTAGAATTTTCTACCAACTGTAGCTGATAGTATCCTCTGTCAGTTTTCCGATAACTGAACGTGGACAGTCTCCTGAATGGCTCCTAGCTTCTTCAATCTCTCCTTATGTCCTCTCAATGTCGTAGCTATAAACTGTTCCCTAGTAGCCATTCTGTTTAAAGGTACTCCGTAAGAAACCGAGCTCATTACCAATTGTATCTGTTGTGCACATCTTCTTTGCTT